GAAAGAAAAAATTGGATGCTACTATTTCTCTCAGGGTTTTAATGATATTTATAAAATCAAAATTCTAAAGAAACTTTATATAAATTGGGAAAGTTTTGATTGTTCATTTTATATGTTTAGAAAAGAAAATTTTATTGATAAAACAGGACCTGATGTTGGATTATGTAACAAATTTGATAATGAATTAAGTTACTATTTGGAGGTTTGGCTTAAAAGTTATATAATAACAGAGCTTTATTTCTTGAGCTACTTAATAAATGAAAAAAAACAAAACCAAAAAGGAAAACCAAATATTTTGAACAATAATGCAATTTTAATTTTTGAAATTAAACAGCAAAAAAAAAAATAAATGATTTGATTTTAAATTTTTCAGATCGACACATGTTTCAATTGCTTGAAACAAGATTTTATTGGAAAAGATCACACCTAACAAAATATGATTCATGGGTTAGTGATAGAGGTTATGGAGATCAGTTTAAAGATTATAGTTTTTTTGAAGAGCAAACTTTTAAAAAAGCATTTACATTAAAAGATAACCCTTTTATTTCAAAAAAAAATACTATAAATTCTTTAAAAAAAAGTTTCAATATAGAAGAACTGAAAGAAGACGAAAATTGTTGGAAAGAACAAAGCAATGTTTTGCAAGATGTTACAAATAAACAACAAGAATTATTTAGAAAAAAAAGTTTTGAAAAAAAAAATTTAAATAAACAAGATGAAGAAGAAAGGTTTAATAAAGAAAATAATAATAAAGATTTAATCTCATTAAAAACCAAAAAAAGTAGTGATAATCTTAAATCACCTGAATTCATACTTGAAATTGATTTAAAAGAGAAAATTGCCTCATTTAATGCATACAAAAACTGTGAGATACTATTAGAAAATCTTTACAAATCAAATAAAAAAGAATCACAAATTTTTTTTAAACAAAATGTTTTAATTAATGGAAAAGCAACTACATTTAGAAAACAAAGTTTGAATTTTCAAGATACTTCAAATAATTCAACTATAAGTAATATTTTTTCAAATGAAAAAAAAGGAAAAATTAAACATAATTCTGATTCTCTTTGTATCAATAATTTTGACACTTTTTGGGAATTGATGTGTGGCTACCTTCTTAACTGTTTGGAAGAAATGGAATTAGAATTTTGTTGTAACCCTTTATATTTTCAACAAGCATTTAGTATTTTAACCACAAAAGATTCTACTTTCCTAAACAAATATCCAGTAGAAGATTTTAATGATAATGGTGTTGATTTTAATTTCTCATCTGTTAGAAAACATGAAAATGATCTTTTAGTTAATATTTCAGATAAATCTGATCTTGAAAAAAAAATTAATAATATTAAAGACAAAGCTTATAAATATTGGAATTATATAAAGTAAAATTCAAGCCAAAAAAAAAAACTTTTTTTGTAGAATTCCCATTGATGAAAAAAATATTTTCTTGTAAAAACTATATATATATATATATATATATATAAATGTTTTGAAATTTTTCTAAAATAAAGAATTCTTAAGAAGTAAACCAGTAAAGATACTAATACAATAGTTGTA